TTTCTCTCTTTCTTTCTCTCTCTCTTTCTTTCTTTCTTTCTTTCTTTCTTTCTTTCTTCTTTTCCTCCCTCTCCCTCTCCTTTAGTTTACTATAGGGCATGTATGCTCACTGGAGAGAGAAGAGAAAGAAAAAGGGGAAGTGAGAAATCACCCTCTGGAAGGGATGGTCATGCTGCAATCCTTTCTCCATTCTCCTCTCAGGATTTTGGGCATGGTTGTCCACACACCCAGCATAATTTTCAAGTCACTGGTCTGAGACTCAAACCACCAAGTCAGCCCTGTTAAATCCAGCCTCTTTAAGCTACATCCCACCTGCTGGCCTAAAACTCTTATTTTCTGTGATAGGAAAAGTAAAATACTATACAAGTAAATTTAAAGACTCATAAATAGAGGTAACTAATCTTGGAATGTCAACCATGTTGACTAAAACCCCAATTGGATTTCTGTTTGCAGTTTGATGTCTAAATATACCTAAAGTTAATTTATTGGTTAGTTATCTTGATTACTAATAAAACTCAGAGTATTATGAATAGGTAATACAGTAAGAGGTGATCTGAAGATTGCCTTCTCATCCTTCCAAAACCTAGATATTAGTTCACTCCTGAAGTCCTTCCAAGGCCCAAGAAATCCTAGGGCCTAGAGAGGCAAAGTTAAAGGACCAACTCTGACATGAACAAGTGACTTGTTCATGTTCAACAGTCAGATTTGTTTGTGAAAAATAGTAGAAACAGTAATAAATGAAAGTTCAGTCAAGTTTCCCACCATAACGAGATGAAATCAAGGAGAAAAAAAGGGGCCAGAAGGGTGGCATGGTGTTTAATGTACCAGACTCCCACATGGCTGACCACAGTTTGAGTCCCAGACCTGGGAGCTTGCTTTCTCATGTTCTCTCTTTCTCTCTGTCTATCTCTCTCTCTGGCAAGTGCATGTGGCCTATAGCAAATTAAAAAATAGTAATAAATAAAATTAAGTAATTCTTTAAAAAAATAAGTCTATGAGAACACAAAACCTTTGAACTAAGTATCACCAAATCAGTTATGAAAACATTCATCATTCTCAAAGGACTCATGCAGCATGCTGCTCAAGCTCCACCTTCCTTGCACCACAGACACTGCAAAGCAACAGCAGCATGGCAATGGTACCCACACATCATCTTTCAGGCCCCAAACGGCTCGCTTCTCTATTTTCAGCATAATTTTCAATATTCCCCTATTTTGCTTGAAGAAATTCCCAAGATACATGGTTTCAGATTTTCCCAAGTACACATACATGGTGAAAAAATGCAGACCTTTGAAAAATGTAATTACACACACACACACACATACACACACACACATACACACACACAATTCAGTTTCCAACTAAGGGGGAGGAGACGACTTCGCCATATTTAAGTGCTGAGATTTTAAACTGTTCCTACACAGATACACACACACACACACACACACACACACACACACACGCACATAAGTGCTATAACAACTTGAATTAATCAAATCCATCTTATCCTCATTTCACTTGCATTGTAAAAGTCCTACTCAAATCGTAAAGACTGTTTCACTTCAATTCCAAGATTTCCCATATGCCCACTAACTGCAAGGCAAAACAGACCCATCCTTCCAGAATGAGATGTCTGGCTCAGGAAGTCAAATAACAGAATTTTCTTTTTTTAAGGTTTTTGCCACAAGACACATGCAATCACTGGAGAGAAAGAGAGAGACACAGAGAAAGAGAGAAATCACCTATCAGGACGAATGGCTAAGCTACAATCTTTCTTCTCCTTTCTCCTCTCAGGATTTCAGGCATGCACATAACACCCAGCATGAGTTTCAAGTTACCAGGTCTGGGACTCAAACCATGGTAGGCCATATGGGAGTCCAACACTTTAACTACTATGCCAACTGGTGGCCTCTCCAGAGATGCTTTTAAAAATATATATGAGGTGGGACCAGCAGTTAGCGTAATGGCTGTCGCTGGACTCCTATGTAGTCGACCACGGTTCAAGTCCTGTATTCGGCAGCTTCACGCCGGGCGCGTGCGCGTGCATGCCCAAGATCCCAAAAGGAGAATGGAGGAGAAGGGATTGTGGCGTGGCCATCCCCCCTGGAAATTCTATATGTTCCTATTTTACCTCTATTAAATAAAAGCTTTGTCTCCATATCTGCAGTAAAATTGAGCTCACGAGGTCTGTTTTTTGCTTGTAATGCTAACTAGTGAAATTCTAGAACTTACTCTTAAAAATCCAAGTTTTAATAATAGCCCAATCACAGTGGCAGTAGGAACAGTGCCGTACAGTCTTAAAAACCATATGGAAAGGCTCCTAGTTCATGCCCTAGGTCTGCTTTGATGTGTTGGGTGTGCCCGTAGGTGTGCCCACAATCCTGGGTGACTGTAAGGCTGAATGGAAGATCATGGTGTGAAGGCTCTTGCTGACAGTATCTGTCTGTCTGTCCCTCTCCCTCTCTTAAAGGAAAAAGCTTTAAAAATAATAATAAACAAAAAGATGAAGGAGATGTGTCGTTTGCCCTGTAATTAGAAGAGGATTTGCTTTTCTTGCCATACATCTAGTTTAAAGGCTGTGTTTCATAGACTGGTAAGCTGTGAACTTTTATAGACACATCCATCACATTTCTGGAGTAAGTGTGGATTTTCATAACTGTCACCAATGTATTTTTTTAAAATTTTTGTTTACATTTTTTTTTTTTACATTTCTTTAAATACATTCAATTACATTATTTA